TGATATGTGGATTAGTTTCTTTCACAAAATAGAAAGAAGAAAGTTATTTATTTACCTATCATCAAAAAATTTCTGTTTAGTCATACAATAGCTGTGTGAACCATTATCCTACGGTCAGAAAATCTTTCGTTTATGAAGAAAATTTGAATATTCGACGAGTCTGTTTTGCAAAGATTTCAAACAATTCAATTAAGTCAATTCCTTTCATTAACTCGTTACCACTTACTGTAATTTGCTTTGATATTGTCAGTAATATTCAGTAAAGAAATTAATAATACATCTTCATCATACACGTATCCAATCTTAAACAGTTTCATAATAACAAAATTATCCCAATACATCAGTACACTTCCTACATTCAGATTCGCCTTTCTCTGGTGCTTGTACAATTTTAAACGACTCGAACTGCGAAAAAAGTACATTGGATTCGTGTAAGTAATAAAAGCGACTAGTGGACTCCTTTCACTGGTGTACGAGGATGATTAAATGTTACTTTCCTTTGCAAAATAGCGTAGGTTTACCTCTTGACCTTTCACCTTTAGAGAGGTTATCGGTTATTCAATTAAATGCCGGTCTTGCATGCCCATGTAGACAGTGTACTTCTGATAAAAAAAAAAGCAGTGATCACATTTTCTACTATTTATCAATCGTAATGTTACATACTCCACACAATCTATAAATAAATTATTGTAATACTTACGTTTTATTACTTAATTTCAATATTTTATTGGGTAATAATTTGTGTCCATATGTATGATCTAAAAAAAGATATGCTAACTACTATGTTTAGTGTTTTATGTATAAATGGTANTAATAAAATCGTTTTTAAAAAGATCTTTTCAAAAAAAAGGAAGAATATTAGTCGTTTGAAAATGTAGGTGCATCAAAATTGCATATATATACTTATATAAAGACGAGTTGGATTAAATTTAAGAACCTGCAACAATAAAATGAAATGAATTTGCCACAAAGCAAATGATTAAGACAAAAAAGGCTGTACAGTGCGATTCTGAAACTGAAAGGTTTTGTTTTAAGTACCCGTTTTTATACTCAAGTACTGTTGTTGATTTTACTCGATCGTTAGTTCCAGTTAGGTAGGGATAAAGTGTGTATGGCACGTACGACTTTTACTAGAAATGTAGAACATAAATTTGAGTTACGGTATCACTGCTACCACGTGGTGGACAAAAGTGAAATCGCTAATTTCTGAATAACACCTTAAAATTACTTAAACCGTTCACTGCATTCAGGCTTAAGTCATTATTTTAAATTGAGTATTTTACGTTTTATTAGTTCCACGAAGTTCCATTAGATGGTATCATAGAGGTGTAGATGTTCACTTCTGTTAATTATCCTTCAAATGGTCCTTCAAGTTCAAGTTCAGTTTTAACCATAACACTAGGCTATAAAGGTCAGTTTCTTACTAAAAACTAAGAAACATTTTAATCTGTAAAAAACGTTAAACTCATGAGTGGTAAAAAACTGAAATTACAGGATGCGGATTGTCGTTAAGTCTCATTTCATTAGTAATTCCATTGGTGATTCTTACTCTCACTTGCATTTATTAGAAAGCGATCTATTTGATTCGTTTATAATAATTATTTTATTAATCCGCGAACAGTATTACTTCTGGTGACATTTAGGAAAAATAAATTGGTTTCATGATCTCATTTCCTTTAATAATAATTTCAATGAATTATTAACCATAACTGACCCATTGTATAACACGTTATGTTCTCTTGATGATTAAATAATAGACTTTCCTCTATTTATGCCTTCTGGTACTGAATAAATAATAAATGCTAAACTCACTAAAATATGGATTAGATGCGAATAACTTTCTACACATATAGGTAAATACTACATATTGTACACCTGTTGTTCTACACACATAACATTAATTTGTTTATAGAAAAAAAATATATTAAGAAAAAATACACAAAATTTTCTCTCAATAAATTTTATTCAAATAATAATAGGACCTAACATAATTAATTAATCCTTTTGGTAGAAAAATACTACAAGCACTCAAAAAAGTTACTGACGCTTTATTAATAGACTATGAAGCGCATTCTGTGCTATTCTTAAAAAAAATCGCTTACCTTTCAAATTTCACAATGGAACATTGATTCTAAACAGTGATAAAAAGCAACTTAAATATAAGTCAAGGAACTTTATTAAGAACGTTAACTTTCAACAGTGTAGAATGTACTTAGCCACTTATTAATTATAAAAAATCATTATTATAGGTAGTAACTAATATGAGAAGAGATGAAAGAGAATTACAAAAGTAATAGTAAAAGCAACTGATACAATTAGATATGCAAAACTGTAAAATTATTTGTTTACACAGCTTGTTGTTTTCTAATACACAATACCAATTTACCAATTAATTAAAAATGTTTATTTATGTGTACCGATAATAATAAATATTCTTATATCTTTACTGAGTTTCCTTAAAGTTATGAGAAATTTCCTGTTAGTCCCACATCCGCATTTAAATTCTTAAGGAACTAGGAAACAAATTGTGTTATTAAACATAAAACACATCGTCACTCCCAATGTCTTAATACACATGCGCTTAATATAGTTTGCGATCACAAGATTTCTTTCTCATTTTCACCAAAATCTAAACTGTAATTTAACTTAAATTTTTTTTACACAGAGTGTATCAGCTATGGTTTGATGCAGCTACTGTCACATTTACTTTATTCTTTCAACTTATTAACTAGACTAGAGCGGTTGCTGACAGAACGTTGTAAGGAATATCGTAAACTTAGAAAAGAGATGTCAGGTATGAATTGCAGCGGACACTAATAAAGAAAAAGAAATAACATTACACCAATTAATGTGTAACAGAAAGAGATGCAGACAGCCAGAATTTGAGCATGTTGCAAGCATCGGACTTTAAAGAAATACAACATTTCCAAGAATTTAAGAAAGAAAAGACTTTTGTTTAAAGATATAATTCCAACCAGGCAATTATAAAGCCGATCCTGATATTTTGCGTAGCTAAGCAACGTCTAACCGCTGCATCGCCTACTGTAATTCGGTCATCTCTTTTCATTTTGTCTGTACTACTCATGAAGCATTTCCTTACTTAACAAGGGCGTGTTCAGAACGCAGTAAATGACTATAGTCCCAAGCGGAAACAAGAAAGAAGATAGGTCCAGTGTTGCCACTTCGAGGGATTTATCCCGATTCGAGGGAGTTTTGACGTTCTCGAGGGATAAAGGGATTTTTCCTTATTTTCGCAAGATTTTTTGTAATTTGCTATTTTGTGGTTGGTTTTGTTTGATTTTGCTGACCTGATATTATATTATGAAGGCGTTCATTTTTCTAATTGTAAACGTAAAATTTTGTCAGCTATAATCGTATAATGCTGTACGATGAAACAGTCGATATACGACGGCGACGTGCGTTCAAATCCTACTGGTGCAACCTGCAGGTAAAGTCCCTACAATAAATTGCCTTGAACTCTTTTGAATTGTATATTGTTTTCGTATCATTGTATGGTCTTCAGCAAACATCTTGAGAGTGACTAGTCAACAGATCAGCAACAGATGTTAAAACTAATAAAAATAAATGTTTGAGTTGGTGTATTGTTCCGAAATCCGAACATCTAAACATCTAAACCCGCAAGGCCTGGTTTTGTCTGCATTTTTGGGAAACGACCTGCGTGTGGGATTTTTTCCTGTAGTAGGTTGGCAACAGTGGATAGGTCCATTCTTACAGACAACTTATTGCGGACTTTGCCAGTTTTTATCGTCCGAACTATATGTACTTAATCCATTAGAAATTACCTCTTATGATATTGATAAAGTGTGGCATAAAACCGAATAAAAATAAAACAGAAATATTGGTATGTAAGGGGTGTAAAAATAGGGTTAGAACAAATATACAAATAGGAGACGATAAACTAGTAGAAGTCGCTGATTTTCGATATTAGAGGGTCAAACAACTTTCAGGATGGAAAAAGCGCTCACAGGCAAAGAATAGAAAGAAGTACAGGTGCGTGATCTTCCAGTCTTGGGGTTGAAGACTTTGTGATAATGGCGATTAAAAGACATTACACAATTTTTGAAATGGCAACATCAAAATAAAACGATCCATTTCACAAACAATTTCATACATTCGTACATGCACCATTTATACTAACATTTATTTATTTTAAAATTTCTGCACGTTCGAATACGGGATGATTTTTATGCCATAATTTTTACACTTTCTCTTTCTCTTAATGTCCATTTTCTATTGCTTTCTTCTTTTTGTTGTCGTTGAAAGATGCACTACCTTTAATGTATATATATATATATATGTTTAACAAGTACTCATAATGCAAATAGCAAGATTTCATGTAAGTCTCGTTATTAAATAATAGCAACGCACTCAAGAAAATCTGATGTATGCTAATGCATTATTATCTAATTAGCATGTTTAACACCACAATTATTACTTGTCTTTACATCTGCTGATTGATTATTGAGCGATTGCACATTTATTTATTTAACCAGATAGCGATTGTTTTTTCTTTCATTTGTTTGGGGACTTGCAATCGTTGTATGGGAACAAATTTGTAGTAAGAGTAATGGTATTGTAAAAATACTGGAATTACAGCAGAAAGTTTCTAGAATTATACAAAGAAAAAGAAATTACAATGTTACTACAGAAATTTTAAAATTATGAGAATCATACAATATAAAATTTATAGAATTTCAAAATATATTTGGATTGGGAAAACTGCTCTAAATATACAATCTTTTGTAAAATAAAATTTCTGTGCTATTTTTCGTCTTCGTCTGGAAGTTTGTAAAATCCATCGTTATTATTTCCGCTGCTTAATGAACAATCAATTTTATATTGCTAATCACTACTCGAAAAATGTATCAAAGAATTGTCTTTTATCCTTTCACCTTGAATTAGTTTGATATTAATTGAAGTCCAATGCATTCTTTTGCAATTTCATGATTCTGCGACATTGGTCTACGCCTCTGGACTAGAACGCATCTCAGAGAAAGGCTTTCTTCCACTTCTAATTCCGACAATCCAATCTAATTCAACCCCTTCGGTATAAATACGCGATTTTAGTGGTATCGTCCATCAGTTTTCGTTTTATTTCTCGATCATACACACTAGTTATTACCACTCTTAAAAGATGAAGGTAAGTTTAATACAGTGAAGTGTAAAAGTGATTGGTGAAAGTATTACAAACTTGTGTGAATCACGGTGTATCATTGCAAAAATGGTTTTTACTTTCGTTCAATAAATAATGCAATAATAATGATAGTAATAGTAAAGTTCTAGTTCAAGGAAACTGTACATTCTCTCTCGTAAAAGAAATTTAGATATGAATGAATACTATTAATTACATTATATGGAAGATTTTTGGTGAACAAATAATTATCTTAAGGATTTTCAGACAATTTTGGCTGCAGCCCTTTTGGGCCTGATCGCTGGTGTACAGTCCTTTCCAGGGATAGCCGACTGTAAGTATTTCTAGGACAAAATACAATCTAAGATTCGATCTTGTTTGTGTTAAAAAAAAATAAAAAAATAACTACCTACTCAAGCTGTAAACATAAAACTTGGACAGAATCATCTACTTGTGACGTAAATGTTTAGTTCTTTTTGAAATTCAACCCCTAAGAGGATAATGCGGATAAACTTCCAACAATGAGTTATTTTCTCGACGCGTTTCGAATTAATTTTTTGACACTAAAACGCTAATGCGAAGGAAGGTTATCTCATATAATTTATTGGTAGAAAACATCTTAAGTTATATAAACTTTTGGAAGAAGCGTCAGTAGTTCGGTGTCAGAATGTCCTCTTGCCACGCGGTAGATCCATGATCGATTTTCGTTCAATGCAACAACATTTTCCGTCACTTATTGTTAGGCAAAACTGGTTGGATTTCTGTGACACGCATAAGTACTTAAATAATATTTTCAAGTTCATTTCATTGTCACCTTTAGCTCATATTGGATCAGGAGGTCTTGCCCTTATAGCGAGTAGCGGTGGTGGCTTCGGTGGTTCCCATGACAGTTACGGTGCCTCCTTGTCTTCCGGTGGTGGAGACGGTCATTCATTCGGAGGTGGATACGGAGGTGGTCAGACAATCTCTTTTGGTTCTTTAGAAGGTCTTGGAGGACATTCTTCAGGTGGTCTTGGTGGTTATTCCGGCGGTGGTGGAGGTCATGGAGGTAGCGGAGGAGACGGCGGCTTCTCTGGAGGTGACCATCACGAAGGAGTGAGCATTGTGGGATTAGGCGAAGGAAAAGGAAGTTCTTTTGATCTCACCGGTAATTTTACATTTTCGTTTTAGTATCTTTTGAATCGGTTTAATTAATGTTGTCAATTAATTGATTAAGGTGGCAATTCCCATCATGGTAAACTTTTCGGAGGTACTATTATTTCTTCTGGTAAACACGAAGGTGCAGCTCATGCCCAACAAGCTATAGGGTCCGGTGATTTGGGAGACGAACACCAATTACTTTCTGGAGCCGGACATGGTCTTTCAGGGGGTGGTCACGAAATTTCCAGCGTTTTAGCTTCATCTGATTGGTCTTCAGGAGGTCTCGGCGGTGGTCATGGTGGTCTTTCTCTGGGCGGTGGTCACGGAGGTGGCGGAGAATACATCATACACTCCGATTTCCACTAGTCTACTCAAAAAATTTATTACCGTACTGATTTCGCTTTCGCCTTATTTTTAATAATTTCTTGTGACCAAAAATGCCTTAATTATTTACGGTTTTCGGTATGAACGATCAACATGTGTTTTGTTTGATACTTTCACTTCCAAACGAAGCAAGAAGTGTCTACCTACTTTCATTTATTATTTTTTTTTTTTTGGCATTGATTTCTTGGATGCCCCGCTGATGAACATTTAAATGAAAGTAACTGGCTCTTAAAACAAATTTGTGAAACTATCACTATCACATTACCTACCTAATTTTACAACTGAATCTTTTCTTTTTACTCTATTATTATTATTTTATCGTTTCTCCTTATTCTTGTTGTATATATTAAATAATTATGTTATGTTATCACGTTGTTGACTTTTGTTTTGTTTGTTGTTGATTTTTTTGTACTGAATTTTATAATTAAACAATGAAACATTCTTTTTATCGAGTGTAATTATTAATCTTACTAATTCCTCGTAACTTTTGTCTTTGAAATGGCTCTGACTAACACGGCAACGTAAAATACAATAAATGTGTATTTTTTTATCAGCTGCATTGTATTTTTCCATATTTGTCTTCTAATTAAGAATGTACTTATTCATTCATTTAAAGCTTTATTTATGTATTTCATTAAATTACAATGTACATTACATATAGTTTATGTATTTATTAACGTTTACTTTAGTAACAATCGAATTAGAAAAGCAATAAAATTCATAAATAGCAATGTTTGAAATACAATATGTTACACGTATATGTTAATGAGGCGGGGTCCTTCCAATTTTTGGTCTTGACTGGAAGACAACCTTATAATAATGGCACTGATTTGATTGCATAATTTTTGAGCTCTCACATAGAACCTCTACAAAGAGAAAACCTATTATTCTTTGCAATAAATAAAATAGACAAATTTGTATAAAAACAAAAATACGGAGGGAAAAGACGTAGCAAATTAGCCAGACCTAATCAAAAATGAGGGAAGAAATCCCGCGTTCCTCTTTGCTTGAAATCACGCAACTATTTAAACCTATAATTGAACTGATTAAAAATAAATGATAATGAAGATTAATTTTATTGGGGGGTAATAAAAACTTCTTTGAGTTTTATCCTGAACAACTATTAGGCGTAAAGTGAATAAAATAAAGCTAATTAGTATTTTGTTGGTCACAAGGATCATTTATTCACCGTTTCTTAAGGCGGAGGAAGTAGTAATGGTATATACGAAGTCTGTTCAAAAAGTATCGTCAATTTTGAATTTCCGCGGGTTACGTATATTCGATTTTCGATTTTTTTTGACAGGTTCGATCATGTTGAATATTAAGTTAATTTTTAACAGCTGTTTTGGTTCGTCTTCGGTTTTTGCCTATACCGAAAAACGGATCAAAGAATCTGCACCAAATTTTGTGTGAAAAACAAAATTAAGTAAGCGGACACATTCCGAATGTTGACTGTAGCAAATAGTAAAGCTACCTTGGACCGAAGCAACAAAATGTTCTCAAAGAGCCGAAAAGATGTGAATGACTAAGAGCGTGCCAGCCGTCCGAGCACGTCAACAACAGACGAAAACATTGATGAAGTGAAGAAAATGGTATTAGCCACTGTTGCCAACCTACTACAGGAAAAAATCCCACACGCAGGTCCAAAAAATCCCATATTTTCTCTAAAAATCCCTCCACGCGCAAGACCAAAAAGTCCCATATTTTCTCTAAAAATCCCTCCAACTTATTACTATTATTATTTTTTAATTCGTTAATTTAATCGTTTATTCGAAGAAAAAAATAGACAATATTTCTGTAAACATGGACAACTTTTCGTGTCGATAGCATAATACCGATAATTTTATTATATGAAGTTATCTCGTTTCCCAAAAATGCAGACAAAACCAGGCCTTGCGGGTTTAGATGTTTAGATGTTCGGATTTCGGAACAATACACCAACTCAAACATTTATTTTTATTAGTTTTAACATCTGTTTCTGATCTATTGACTGGTCACTCTCAAGATGTTAAAAAAATCCCTCGAAGTGGCAACACTAGTATTGGCCAATCGTCAAACCAGCGTTAGAGAAGTTACTGAAGACCTAAACATATCGATTGGCTCCTGCCATTCGATTTTTACCAATGATTAACATTACTAAGGAAGCTTTTGGACTCTGTCCGCGACGACTTAAATTTGTTCCAGAGGTTCATAACTGGCGACGAGTCATGGGTTTATGGTTATGACGTGGAAACCAAAGCTCAATCATCCCAATGGAAACTGCCGCATGAGCCAAGACCGAATAACGTGTGCCAAGTAAGGTCGAATGTGAAGGTTTTCTTCGATTGCAGTCACGTGGTACATCATGAGTTCTTACCACAGGGTGGAACGCTCAATAAGGAATATTACCTGCAAGTTATGAGCAATTTGCGCGAAGCAATCCGCCGGAAACCCCCGGATTTGTGGAAGAACAGTAATTGGCTATTTAACCATGATATGATGCTCACACATCGTTGCTTGTGTGCGAATTTTTGGCCAAAAACAACACATTAATAATGCCGCAGTCAACGTATTCTCTAGATCTGGGCACCTGTGACTTTTTGTTGTTCCCGAAACAGAAGAGGCCCACTACGATTGAGAAAATAAAGACGACATCGAAGGAGGAGCTGAACATGTTCACAAAAAAATGATTTTTTGATGTGCCTCGAGAATTGGAAAAAACGTTGGTACAAGTGTACAATATCTGGTGGGGATTATTTTGAAGCGGATAAAACAGATATTCATGAATAAATAATTTTTGAAAAAACACAAAATTCGCGATACTTTTTCAACAGACCTCTTAAATCAATATTTCTTACACCTGAAGAAACCACTATATTGTGAAATAATCATTGTGATCAATAAAGTATTTTGAAAGTTTAAGTTAAAGTTAGTGTTTTGGTTAATTTCGTTTTTGAAAGTGGTGAGAAAGTTACATTTATGTTGGACTAGGCGTGGCCTTTTCTATCTCCTCTCGGCTTTTTATTCTCTGTAATATCCCAGGAAGTATATAAGCCGTGCTCATGTAAGTAANTCGCCGTCGTATATCGACTGTTTCATCGTACAGCATTATACGATTATAGCTGACAAAATTTTACGTTTACAATTAGAAAAATGAACGCCTTCATAATATAATATCAGGTCAGCAAAATCAAACAAAACCAACCAGAAAATAGCAAATTATAAAAAATCTCGCTAAAATAAGGAAAAATCCCTTTATCCCTCGAGAACGTCAAAACTCCCTCGAATCGGGATAAATCCCTCGAAGTGGCAACACTAGTATTGGCCAATCGTCAAACCAGCGTTAGAGAAGTTGCTGAAGACCTAAACATATCAATTGGCTCCTGCCATTCGATTTTTACCAATGATTAACATTACTAACGAAGCTGTTAGACTCTGTCCGCGACGACTTAAATTTGCTCCAGAGGTTCATAACTGGTGACGAGTCATGGGTTTATGGTTATGACGTGGAAACCGAAGCTCAATCATCCCAATGGAAACTGCCACATGAGCCAAGACCGAATAACGTGTGGCAAGTAAGGTCGAATGTGAAGGTTTTGCTTAGAGTTTTCTTCGATTGCAGTGACGTGGTACATCATGAGTTCTTACCACAGGGTGGAACGCTCAATAAGGAATATTACCTGCAAGTTATGAGCAATTTGCGCGAAGCAATCCGCCGGAAACGCCCGGATTTGTGGAAGAACAGTAATTGGCTATTTAACCGTGATATGATGCTCACACATCGTTGCTTGTGTGCGAATTTTTAGCCAAAAACAACACACTAATAATGCCGCAGTCAACGTATTCTCTAGATCTGGGCACCTGTGACTTTTTGTTGTTCCCGAAACAGAAGAGGCCCACTACGATTGAGAAAATAAAGACGACATCGAAGGAGGAGCTGAACATGTTCACAAAAAAATGATTTTTTGATGTGCCTCGAGAATTGGAAAAAACGTTGGTACAAGTGTACAATATCTGGTGGGGATTATTTTGAAGCGGATAAAACAGATATTCATGAATAAATAATTTTTGAAAAAACACAAAATTCGCGATACTTTTTCAACAGACCTCTTAAATCAATATTTCTTACACCTGAAGAAACCACTATATTGTGAAATAATCATTGTGATCAATAAAGTATTTTGAAAGTTTAAGTTAAAGTTAGTGTTTTGGTTAATTTCGTTTTTGAAAGTGGTGAGAAAGTTACATTTATGTTGGACTAGGCGTGGCCTTTTCTATCTCCTCTCGGCTTTTTATTCTCTGTAATATCCCAGGAAGTATATAAGCCGTGCTCATGTAAGTAACAGCAGTAGAAAGTTATGTTAGAAAGATATTTCGCTCTTTTCAATTTTTTTTACTTTATCGTAACATAACGACTATTTCATACTTTAAATTAATACATATAAGGACAACCAGTTATTAATTAGTAGAAAAAGAATGAAAAATTGCCTATCTCAAGAAATATTTTCCGTATTCGAATAGTGAAAGACAACAGAAATTCCACAGGGCTAACACAATACTGTAATAAAAATGGACATTTTATAAGAAAAGATAATTGTCGTATATGGTTTAGATAATTGTAGGAAATTAGACATTCCAGAACGACTTAAAATTCAAATTAATGCCCTCGATTGTCACCAATATTTTAAAATTTATACAATTACTAATGTGGGTAGCAAGCAACAGAAATTGTTCGGCCATACTGATGTATTCTTGTTCTCGAGAATGAGTAAACACAAGAACTATATCGAAATAACAAACAACTTAGTATAATAATCAATAAATAATGTCTGTTTAGGACAAGCGACCTATCCCAACACAATCTTAATTACCAATTTTTATTAGGTAAGTGTTTTGTTCATCATCATAAGGTCGTCAGTCCTATGATTGGTTGGACACGCACCTCCACTCTTACTTATCCTGAGCTAATCTTCGCATTTCCCTAAAACCGAAACAATCCACATCTTTAACTATTTACGAACAGTAATCTAATCTAGGTCTACCTCTACCCCTCCTAACTCCCGTTTCTGCCTCTAATACGTCTCTGACTAGACCTTCATGCCTAAGAAGGTGTCCTACCAACCTATCTCGCCTATTTTTTATTGACTTCCATAGAGTCCTCTGTTCTCCTATTCTTTCCAATACCTCTTCATTTCTAACCTTTTCTATCCACGTTATCCTTATCATTCGCCTATAACACCACATTTCGAAGGCTTCTAACCTTTTCTTTTCCGCCGCGCCCACTATCCATGTTTCGCACCCGTACAGCGCCCTACTCCAAACATACATCTTTAACAGGCTTTTTCGAATTTGTAAATTAACTGTTCGCGAGCGTAAAAGTGACTTATTCTTTTTATTGAAGGCGACTCAACCCTGCGCTATCCTCTGATTTATATCCCTACTACTCCTTCCGTCTTATCTGACTTCTTAGATACCTACCTAAAACCAGTCATGTCTTGTAATTTTTCGTCTTCTATTTTTATATTCGCTCTTTCCCTACTTTTTCTTCCCTTGCATACCAGTATTTTTGATTTACTTTTATTTATTTGCATACAATACTGTTTTGTCAGTACCGCTTCCATTTTATTTAAAACTATCTCTAACTCCTCCTTGCTAAATGCTATTACTGCTATATCATCTGGAAATCTAAGTACACTAACTTTTTGACCCTGTATATCTATCCCTACAGTTGTACTGTCTTTAATGATGTTGATCGCGTCTTCGATGTATAGATTAAAAAGTAGCGGTGACAGTGTGCATCCCTGTCTGACTCCCTTCCTAATATTTATTTCTCTACGTTGCATCCCCAGCTCTATAACTGCCTGTTACTCTTTATACAAACCGAGTATCACTCTTCTATCTTTGTAACTCATCCCTACATTTTTAAGTACATTTAACATCTTGTCTCAAAGTGTTTTGTTATACGTATTAAATTATTATTGCTTATGTTTTTTTTTTGTCTGGCAGAATTACCCGGCGTCATTATCCGGTATCCGGCCGGATCCTAGAAAAGCGTCGGATCCAAACCGAGTACGCGGCCCATCTCTAGTTTAAACGTCAAAAAAAACTCTAGAAACCTTTTATACTATTCACCAAATGCGCGACAAAAATTTACACTTTCAATAAATAAATAAATAAACAAAACTTACCACAATTATAGTACGGTATTGTCATATCGACATCATCCGTTGACGAAACGACATTGACTTTGTTATTCTTAAGGTTAATCGTATGCCTAAAACGAGAAACATGCTTTTTACGTCTATACCAACTGTTCACAATCAGGTTTCCTTACGAACTATTATCGGGGGTTGAAGTTTCAACTTCCGGAGATGTCAGACCCATCATATTATAACAGGCATATGCGTTATTCGAACAGCGGTGGTTAGGATTTTTATTACAACAATTATTATCAAGTTGAGCCACGTAACATTTAATTTTGTCATAGCAACCGCACGAGTATTTGTTACGTTTCGTGCGCTCATCTGGACACACTGTGGTAGACGTGTAAGTGCATGGGTTCGCACTGTTAAGAAATAATCTTCCAACGTCCGAATAATTCCTGTAACAACCGAAATAAGACACTGGCATGTGCATGTCCTGTTTTTCATTAATCCGAGGTTGTTCGTTTCTCTCACATCTCGATTTTGGATGTCTGGTGTCAGGTAAAAGTGGTTTCGGTTGTCTACTTTGGGCTAAAATTGGTTTTGGTTGTTTATATTCAGTCAGCTTTGGTTTCGGTTTTGGCTGTACGGGGTCCCAATGTGCTTTCCTCTGTTTCCAATAATCGGGAGCAGTGCCACCAGGTTTGGTTAGTTGCGAGTGCTTCGTATACTTTGGAACCGGCTTCCTTGTGGGTTTTTTGCCACTCCTTTTCGAGTCTATATTCGGGAGAGTTTCGGTTTCATTCTTTTTTTCGTTTTCAGTGGATTCCGTTTGTACGTACACTGCATTGCTATTCCTTCCTTCCGAAAGTATATCCTCCGTCTCGTACTGTACGATCGAGGGAAAAACACTTTCCTCAGCTTCTTTCAAAATTTCTAGTGTCTCGAACTGTTCTGATTCAGTTTGATCAAAGTCTTCTTCGCCAGCTTCTTGTTTTTGCTCTTGTTCTTCTGTTTCTTGTTGATGTTCTTCTTCTGTTTCTTGTTGATGTTCTTCTTCTGTTTCTGATTGTTGTTCGGCCAGTTGTAATAGTTCTTCTTCTGTTTGTGATTGTTGTTCGGTTACTTGCAATAGTTCTACTTCTGTTTGTGACTCTTCTTCTTGTAGTTCTACCTGTTGTCCTTTCTCTTCCATTTCTGGCTGTTGCTCTTCTTCCTGAATACTTGGAAGTTGCCCTTCTTGTTCTGGTATCTGTTGTTCGTCACTGCAAGGTGAGCTTTCTCCGATGATAAAGACCTCACGCATATCGGAGTCGCTACTTTTGAACGACACTTTCTTTTTCTCCCTTTCTAATTCACACTGATCGTCCAGTTGTTGGTCTATACTAGATATAATGACATCAGCTTCAGCAATTATAGAATCAATAATAATTGGTTCTACCTACTGACCTTCTGCATTCAGCATCCTCTTGTTCTATCTTTTTGATAAGCTTGTCTTTCTCTGCTACGGAAAGACAAGTATGCAGACATTAAATTATTCATAATAAAAAAAAAAACAGTGGATTTTACCTGGATCCAAATACACTTCGTATGTAACTTTTACGCTATTATTTTTCCTTGTTGTAACAATACCTTGTTCGGCTACGTTGTACGGTTTGACGTTTCTGTTCAATGAAGCCGGTTTGCAGAAACATTTTAAAGATGATTGACCTCCTTCTAAAACAATAGAGTCATAATAGGAGCCTTTTTCGATTTCTTGAAACATACCATCAGAGCCTTGTATGCCTCCCAGCCTATAAAATTGCAATAAACTTTCCCCATAAAATCTACTCCTAACACCGTCTGAAATGTCTAGCTCCGGTTCCAATAAATCTAATTCATTTTCCGGCCCTGTGTTTGACCTGCACGGACACATGTCGAAATTATCTCTCACGTGCATCCTGTAAATAAATTCCAATTGGTTCTTGTTCTCCTCGCTTTTCGTCAGCTGAAATATAGAAACAAAAAGTACAACATTTCAAACAAATGAACAAACGTTGTGTCTATAAAAAACCTTTGCTTGTTCTAATATAGCCGCTCCCAATTTTCCATCCTTCGCATCTGCATTGATTGTTTTGTCCCTCAAGATGGCGAAGAGGGTGCCATTTACATACGGCATACAGCATTCCCTGGTAGTGTACAAAATGGTGGTCAATAGACTCACCATTTCTCTTGATATACTTTTGCAAACGCTCTTTGCTTCCCGTTGAAGGCACAGGTTCATTAATAAAGCAACAGAATATTCCAAACAGTAATCATTCAATGATTCGTAATTATTTGTTAGAAATGTTACAAGGTATTGGATTAAACCTAAAATGGGTTGAATGATTTTAAGGGCGAAAATAATAAATAAGAAAATAAGCAGGAGAATTGGGAGAGGGCGGGATTGAGGGTACGTATTAGAGACTGTTCATTTTGTGATAAATTAGGGTGGCTTAAAACACAAAATACGTTACGTATCAATTAACCTCCTTCAATCATAAGTTGCCTAGCTCGTTTTCTAAGGCTTAACTTTTGAAGTGTGGCAATCAGCATGTCCTGTACTATTACACTATCATATTTTTCATTTATGACAAATGGTAACAGAGTTTCTGTTAAGAACTGCTCGTCTTGGCATAAATAATCTCTTCCAACTTTTAAAGATGCAAAGCAGTTCAAAATTCTTGCGGCGTTCGACTATAACATAAATACAGTGTGTCAAACATATTTTTGTTCTTGTTACTGATAGCGTACTTGGACATCGTTAATCTCTCCATTCGCATCCGGCTCTCTTTCCAAACAGTTCTTTATAATTGACCCGGTAAATTGGCATTCTTTTTTTGCAACTTTTAATCCGAACAAATTATTTCGTATATACAATTCCATTTCACGGCACCTTATCTCATCACTGGTCTGAGTGATACGCTGTGTAGAAATCAAGAAATGAGACAAGTTCTAAAGATGTGCAAAATGGTTTACTAAAGATATCTAGATACAAAATGCAAATACGTACTTTCAAAACACCTTTTTTAAATAAATTGTCTTATATAGTACTTAATTTCATCATTTATTTAAGTATGAAAGATTTTGTTTATCTAGGAAGTGAGATAACTCAGGATGGAAGTGGCAGTAGAGATATAAAACAGATAGAGCACGGTCGAGTGTCTTTCAACAAAAAAATTCACTTCTATGCTCGCAAACGGTTAATTTAGAAATTCCAAAAAGGTTTTTAAAGGTGTATGCCTGGAGCGCGGCGCTGTACGGGTGCGAAACATGGACGGTGGGCGCGGCGAAAAAGAAAAGGTTAGAAACGTTCGAAATGTGGTGTTATAGGCGGATGATGAGGATATCGTGGATAGAGAGGGTTAGAAATGAGGAGGTACTAGAAAGAATAAAAGAGATGAACACTATGGAAGTCAATAAGAAATAAGCGAGATAGGTTGGTAGGACACCTTCTCAGGTATGAAGATCTAATCAAAGACATATTAGAAGCAGAAACAGGAGTTAAAAAGGGTAGAGGTAGATCTAGATTAGACTACTGTTCAAACTGTCCAACGAGTTTTAAGACTGAGGACATTATGATGATTTGATTAACTCTGAATTGGTTCCATCCTTTAAAGAATGGAGTTTTTCTAGGCCAATTGTGGCGTTTGCTCTATCACCGGCTGGTAAAAAGACCAAATGAGATTCATGTTTTTCTTTTCATTTTTCTATTTTAATTGATTAAGATATATTTCTTTGCGTTAACTTCGGCATCCATTTTAATATGAAAAAAGGACATAACACTGATGTCAAAATAGTTTATTTAGGCAGGAAGATAACAGCCAGAATAGGGCTTAAATAATTTTTAAACAACATTGAATCCACAGTAATAGGTATTATTTTGTATTTTGTATTTTGTGATTGGATCTTAACTGCAGATGTTTCAAATAATCACATTATTATTAGCTTTATAGTGTGCTATTTATTTGATTAGAAAAGGGGTGTTCGTAACAAGACGAGAGGATGACGGAATGAAGCAAATTTTTAACAATATTATTTCTTGAAGAAGCGATAGTCAAGATCCCTTAAGGACTCTTTGTCTTACACATACCCATCTAAGTGCCTGCAGTAGTAATTCTTTGGTAAGATCAGTTCCTTTTAACAGGTGATATTTGATCTTATGGATGTCTATAGGGAAATAATCCTCAATTGGGGCGGCCCCGTAAGCAACAGCGTATTCAGTATATGAAACTTTATCATCATCATCCATCACATCTTCTTGGTTCATACAAATGCTACAACAACATTCACGTCCGTTATTTTCATCGGCAGCTTTTTCACAATCGGCCATTTGTCTGTTAACAGTTGTTGTCTCAACTCCTTCGACAGTTGTTTCGTTTTCTTCGTTACTTTGCGTTTCTGGATCGTCAGGATCACCCCAGTTTGCTTTCGTAAATGAATCCGATGGTTCGTTGGTTGACTTGTTGAGTATTTCAAACTCCTCGAAATGTTGATAGTAGAGTTCGGAAAGTTCATTTGAATCTGACGTCGATAATACTGTAGTATTTATTTCAACTTCTTCCTCAAATTCTAGTTTTTTGTTAGTTAACGAGGGTATTAAAATCAAAAATTAAATATAGAAAGCACTTTTATTGTTTGACATTTTTAATTTTTAATAGAGGNGGGATGTTTTAACAGGGCGAAACCGTGTCCTATTCTTGTGGTATTCAGGAGAATTGCATCCACCAAATTCTCGTCTACACTTGTCCCATACCAATCCGTTTCACCGGCGTGGAAAAAGAATTTTACAGTTCCTGAAAGTTATATTCAATTGTGAAATTATTGTTGAAGTTAGGCACCCCTGGGGTTGTGTCCTAACGTGAAATTTTTGTTTTTTCATCCTAAGCCAATCTTCGTATTTCTCTAAAACTACAACATCTCCCTCATCCATCTAATCTAAGTCTACTATCACTCCTCTTGACTCTATTTCTGCGTCTAGCTACCTATATCGTCTATTTTTTATTGACTTCCATAGAGTCCTCTGTTCTGCTATACTTGCTAGTACCTCTTCATTTCTAACCTTCTCTATCCTCATTCTCATATTCTTTTTTCTCCACGTTTCGCACCTATACGGAGCTGTGCTCCAGGCATACACCTTCAACAGTCTTTTTAGAATTTCTAAATTAACCGTTCGCTAGCACACAAATGACTTCTTTTAGATAGAAGCGACTCGATCTTGCATTATCCTTTGTTTGATATCTCTACTGCTCTATCCACCCTGAATTACCTGACTTCCTAGATACAGAAAATCGTCTCCTATCGTCATATGTATTCACTTTTGGTATACTAAACTTCCCGAAAATCGTATAACTTAAAAGCAAATAAAAACCGAAATACTTGTGAAATTCCTAAAGTTGAACACCCCTGGGGGTAGGTCTATGCCGTTTCGCCACAGATGATGTGCCACCGCCGTTTCACCGCCAGTCGTTTGGTCACCAGCCCTTTCGCAATAAAAATATAAAACAAAACTGAACCTTCAATAATTTTGTACTGATAAAATTGATAATTATGTGCTAATATTCAATGTGAGTTCGGTTATCACAATCTCGCACAATTCTCAAAATTCTGTCGTCAGCATTTCGAAATCTTTGTAATTTTAGAGGAGGAAGTCTCCCGACCATTAAATGTTCCATGACGAATTTCCAAATGGCCTGATTCCTTTGAAGACGTCGATGTGCAGCGGTCTTCTGCAGCTAATGTGCTTTCGTAAAGATTCCAAACATTCCAGCTTTCCTACAATTTCCTCAACGGCTCGGTCTTCCAAGATAATTGTCCCCAAACCAGTCTAGCAGGGGTATGTGTCTGTTAGGTAGATGTTCTGCCAGTTCGTTAATAACTTCGTCCAATTTAGACATTTTTAATTTTTAATAGTGGTTAATGTGAAATATTAATGTGGAAATTCATTTTCAAATTTTTATCCACTACAAACTACCTCAAGGGAAAATTTTTGTGTTGCTGTTCTCACACCCTCGTCGGGAATCGAACCTGGGACCTTTGGCTTTACGCACCAATGCTCTGACCACTAAGGTCCCGGGTTCGGTTCTCGGCGAGGGTGTGAGAACAGCAACACAAAAATTTTCCCTCATTTACTTGAGGTAGTTTCACACTAATACGTTTATTGTTAATTTTATTAACATTTGAGTGCCAAAAAAGCAATATTCAGTTATAAAATTAACTCTATATTAAAATGTTGTTAGGAGTAAGTACCTTTTTGACTTTACCTTTTGAATTTTCAGCTGTTTTAACCCTTTTACAGTAATTTGTTGACGCTTTTGGTAGCAAAAAGTCCATGTTATCTATCAGAGTGTTTACAGTATTTGTAGATCTTAAGCAAACTTCAGGCTCATTGTTGTTGTATTCACTCACTTGAATTTTTATCGACTCAAGTAAGCGAAAAGTTACACCTATCAACGTAAAAATATTTTCTGCCATTTTGCAAAAGAAAGTTATGGTACAATGGGGTAGTCGAGAACAACGGATAGGTAAAAAACAAAATACAGGAATATGAAAATCTATGTTAATGTTAATTTTAAATTAGCACTTTTGGGAGTTCTCAATTACCCTGTTTTCCGCTATTGCTACACTTACACATTAAATTTTGGCCATCTTTTTGAAACATATTACGTTTATCACCAGAACTGATAGATTGGAGCGAATCTTCGTAATGGGGATGAATTTCTTCTGCATAGCAGACATCTATATCTTGAGGGCTGGTTGCATTTTCTACGCTGTGAACTCGGTAACATTTTGGATAAATATTCACCGGATAATAACCCAAATCAGTTCTGTTTTTCTTACAAGACGTGGATATGGAAGATGGGGTTAAAATAAGAAATTTCGGAGTCGATATGGAAGCACAATGGAAATTATGGGCTTTGATTTCTGCTTCGAGAGCTTTAATTGTATCAGTGAACTTGATATTCTCTAAAAACTACTTAGNATTATTTTGTATTTTGATTTAAAATGCAAATAATATTTCGTTTACCCTAAAATACTCAAATAAACTTTCCCTATTCTAGAGAAATTGGGACTGAATTGAACATTTTCTACGTCCGTAGTCATAAGTTTAACCTTTGGGGGGTGAAATGGGTAGTCATTGGGACATTTTAGTATAAAATAGAAAAATCCTCCTTCATAAGGTGTATTTGCAACTCCAATAATGATTGCATGTATTAATTTGAGATTATCTTCATCGAGGACTGCATATAATCCAAAGGGAGGGTCGTTAAAGAAATTTACCATATCTCTGGATAATGTAATTGTGAAAAAAGGGAGGGGAGGGATTATAAAATACAGTTATCTGTACTAACCGCTTTATGCGAGCAGATGCTGTATGTGATAGTGCATCCACTTCTTTATCATTAATCGGATTCCATTGGCTGTGACTTAAGTCTACAGTTCCATGGCATTCTGTTAAGGCACCTTAAGATCAAACCAACTGCATTAAATTGAAAAAAGAAATGGTCGCCAATGCAATACCTAATGAATGAACGTGAACTTTTACACATTTTGTACTTTTAAAACTGATAAGGTCATTACACATTAAGAATTTTATTAATTTAGAGGTGTTTTGACAAGCTGTATAAAATGTTAACGTTTTTAATTGGCAGTTATTTGTTTTGAAAATACTTAGGTACTTTTAAAAAAATGAATTTCATAGACTATAATTGTTCATGTGCGCGACGCATCCATAGATAAAAGGTTTGGTCGGTAGTAGGTAGCAGGGTTGAGGAATTGCAGGAGTAAGGTTAAATCTATTGTTTACTAAACTTTTCCAACAATTACAGCAACAATATAAAACCTAGAAATCGTATTGTTGGTTTAGGTTTAGTTGTATTGTTGAAACAATAAAACCAACGATGTCTATACCTTTATTTCCAACTTTAAAACCCAAATTGTTTGATTCAGCATGGTTTAATGTTGATCAACCGTGTGACGATGAAAACGAAGTTACGCAGTTGGAACAAGAATATATTGCATGGGTATGTTCAATCAGATGCTCTCTTGTTGAAGATTTAATAAACATTTTGTGTTTTCAGGAGGAAGCTGTAGGAAACAAGTACAGTGACATTACTCCAATTGGAAAGACTTCCACAGAGGTAGAGAAATCTTTCCTCATGATTTGAAATTTATTAACTTATAACTTTTTAGAATATGGACGATGAAGAGGAGGAAGACGACGAAGATGATAATGATGATGATGAAGAATCAGAAACACATGATGAGGAAGAAGAGGAGGAAATTGAAATGGATGTTCCCTATGACTCCAACTCTTCAGTAGGGGCAAATATTAGAATGGTACAGGGAAATGGAGGAACGTAAAGATACCGACTGATAATTCACTAATGTTTTTGATTACTTTCAAATGTTATATGTACCTATGCTTTTTTATATTGTATTATTAAAAACTCATAAGAAAATATAAAAATACAACTTATTTTTCACTATTTGTTGAATTCCCCTACTATTTATTATTAATTAAGCGATTATAATAAAAATACATAGTAAGCGTAGACGGATGGAGTTTTAAGTCATGTGACAATTATATGCAGTAGGAATTCGAGAAAATAGAAAATTTGGCGCTTCATATAAATAAAATCGAAAATAATGTTTTTTATGACCACTTTTCGGAATTTTAATGTCAAACTTTTATGACAATTATTAAAACCATTATATATAGTAATTTATTTGGCCTTAATTAGCTTATAAAACAATCATAATGTTGAATGTCCTTTTGTACTACCGCTTCTACAAGTCTCTTGCGTAATAGAAACATTGCTAAAACTGGCTTACAAAGAGAGATGTGAATATTATAGTGAAAGGTAAATTGTCAATAAGCAGTTTGTACACCGTTTTATCCGTATGTCCTGTATAAGAACCGCTTCAGGGTTTTTATAAACAACTCCCCTTATCTTAACAGGAATTCCAGAATTTTTGTAAATTCCTCAGTGGATCAATATTCTTTTAAGGTTAGTTTAAATACATTTCCATTTGTTATTATCATAACATTTTAACTACCTTTACAATTTTTATTCCACTATACTATGCTGTTTATGAAAGGGTAATTTTCAAATTTTCTTTTTGGGAATAGGTACTTAATGGATATCGACATGGGTATCTATATCCCCTCATCCTTATTGATAGCGTATTTTATAAAAAAAGATAAACAAGAATTCAATTCTTTTCTTTTATTTGTTTTACAAAATAGATTTTACAGATGTAAAAGTAAATAACATGATACGAAAAATTTTATTCCTTTTTGTGGTACAATAGTATTTCTTGGGAAAAATGGATACAGGATACTTGCATGCTGTATACATTTTTTAGAAAATATTTTTTGTATGAAATACGTGAGATTAAGTTATTTTTAACGCGGAAATAAAATTTATTTTCTTTTTTTATGCTTACACTCTATCATTATCAAAGTTTTATCGAAACAAACGTGAAAATGCGACAACAAAAATGACAAGAGTTGATTTTACTAAACTTTCTGATATTTATCAAATATTTTTACTTATGCATTGCTTGCAATACCTAATTACATTCAAGAGGTGACGCAAACAAATTTCCGATAAGTCCCATGACAAACTTAACATTAACAAGGTAAAATTATGCAAACATTTTTAAATATAATTTAAAAAAACTATCATAGGTAGTCTCTAATACAAATGAAACTGAAATATACATATTTAAAAAAGAATTATGTGTATAATAGGTACCTATTGCATTTATTTTTAATACTTAATTTTAAAAATTTAAAAAGAATAACTATTTTTTTGATTTTTTAAAACTATCGACTGACTTAATGAACGATATTACCTTTATATACTCATTATTTTTGACCAATTGTGATGTAATAGATCGAAATCCACACATATACTGATATATTTATGTACATTAGTTTGATACTCACTGTTACTAAGGAAATTAATATTTTTGTTATAAAATTGAGTCCGGGGTACCTTGGCATTGATTTAAATATCGATTAGCAGGTGTGAAACGAGTGCAAAATTGGTATCGTGTGCAAAAGCAATTGGAAATACATAAATACATACGACAATCTTAAAACATTGTAATGATCAGGATTATTTTGTCATGTTGTTCGAGTACATGTACTGCCCCTCTATCAGTCCCACTCGCAGCAATTAAATTTCAGATAGCAATACCGATGATAGTAACGTCTACAATTGCTATAAACAGCCTATTGTCTCCTCAGTAAACAATACTTATTATTTTGCTTCATTTGTTTTGTAAAAAGAAAGAAATAAATGAATTTCCATTGTTAATAAAAGGAGTTAAATATTTCTCTTTATTGTTTAAAACTCGGTTTAGTAGAACGTAAAACTTTTGAGAAAAAGTAAGTGGTACCTTTATTAAATTTTGTTCTTATTAAAAATAATTGAATCTGAAGCTTTATTTTAAAATTTGTTAAGCTCGAAGAATACCCACCTGTTGATTTTTTTAACCGTAGGTATCAACATTTACACCTTACTTCAAGGACTTTGTAAACAATAGTTTTTGAAACTAATTTTTTTATTTTTCAAAAATTGTTTTTTCCACTTCTCTACTTAGTAATCCTCACTGTGAAATTTACTAACCGAATTATAGAATTAATAAAAATTAGATTCATAACTTTAAAATAACGTATGGTTTTAATTTATACCAAGCTTGATGCACTATACTTAATTAAAATTTCGTTTGCAATGTAAATATCATACCTATCTTGTATGGTTTTTCTAAATTTGAAATTTATTTGGTTAAATTTGATTTCAATTTAGTGTTCAGCTTTGAGTTAAATATTATAAATAACTATTTATTTATTTATGGTTTCGAATATTGGTTAATTATTTTAACAAGCTATTGAATTTTACATGGGTATCCTAAAAATGTCGATTTAAATCACCTAATTTTAAAAGTAATTAATAAGTACATTCTTTTGTCTTCAAATTATCGTCATTTTCTAATACGTTTGTGACCGCAAATATTTTTATTCTTCTTACAGTTCTAATACGTCTTATTGTTGCGATTTTTGATTGGTTGAGAGCCTGTTGATAAACATTTTGTACTGATATTGAAAACCGCAAGAGCCTCCATACTTTACACATTCAATTGTCCTTTGTATCATTGTTAATCAAGCTTGGTATTACAACCCTTCGTGCTATTAGTAAGTTTCAAATATTTTTACATACTTAATATTTCACTAATTATATTTAAATTCGTTTGTTCTTTAAAAGTACATTTACGATAATTAGGTAGTTTAAAATGCACACTTATAATGAATGTATTTCCTAAAATCAATTTTTAACTTTTTATTGAAATTTTTAAAGGTGCGCGATTGGTGAAGCATGATTTAAATACCGACGTACCAAACACCAAAAAATTTCAACAAATTTTTGAATACGATACTCAGTACAGACTAAAGATCCTTTTCTATATTGTTTACGTATTTTAATTGAATTCAACTTTTATTTTTCGTGTTTATTTTACTTTGTAATTGCTTACCAATAATTGTCAAAATTAACAGATAGGAATGTTGCACTTATTCAATAATTTTCGAATGTTTATGTACTCAGATAACAGAAAGCAAAAATCAATATTTGGATGATAAAGGACTTGATTAGAAATCCTATGTTGGATATAATTTTTATGTCTTTAAGATTGCTACACATATTTATTGTTAAATGTCTGAAATGCTGTCGTATGGAATATTTGCAATGTGTTAAATTTAATGCTTATTAAATAGAAAACGTATAAAAGTAACTTCGTGGTCGTTCACCTGAATTAATGTGCAATCTGTAATTCATCTACGTGAAATGAAAGATAGGATTTTATTCGATATTAGTTTAGAAATAAAAAGTTAAATCGCTCTAAAAATTGATTTTAACCAATGTCGGCAGTATAGTAATTTAAACTGAAGGCTTTTGTACTATCATTTTGAGACATTCTTTTTTAATTAGTCCAATAAATACTCTTAAGTGCCTTCAACATTCTACTTATAACATTGTCTTTACATTAGCGTACAGAACAAAATGAACGTGTGTTATATTCTGTATTGTGTGTGAATGTTTTTGTAGAAAGTAGCCAAGTGTAGGTACCTACATCCACATTTATGCATTAATAGTGAAAGTGTTTTAGTTCTGTTTCAAAATCAAACAGGGACAGTAGAACGAACAAAATTGCTAAATTATAATAATTGTGTGATTAGTGTATTAAAGTTCAAAAGGTTTGTGGTTTTAAGAATCATTTTTGTTGTGGCATTTTTTTTTTGTAACATTGGTAAATTGTTACTGTCTTACTTTGTTTGCTAACTACTTTTTTCCTTTCTTTAGATGAGTATTAGTGTCTGGTCTAGTCTTAAATCTGTTTTCTTGTAATTTTATTTTGTTTTGAAAATAGGTAATCACAAAATAATTTTGCTTATTACCTTTTTTCATATAAATTTTTGTTGTGCCANTTTATTTTACTTCTTTTTATGATCTATATGAAAGAACGATTTTTTAGCTTTAAACGAAGAAACTGATTTATTACCCTTTACATGCAAACCACATACATTTACCTTGCCCTTTCAGAATACAAAGTACTCTACAGGTAGAATACTAAAAATAAATGAGTTACTACTTGATGCATATCATACGTTAATACGTGTTGAAATAGAAAATACCAATGAATAAAATCAAGGGTTGCACACTTACTAAACGAATAGTTTTCAAAATCCCTGGTATGTCTTCAGAACTATAAGATTAACATTTTAAATATATGAAATACTGATGAATGTCTATATTGTAAAACTTACGGTATTGCTGTGGTCCACATTCTTTCAGTCATTTCTTGATTTATTTTATTGTTAATACTCTAATATTTACACCAGTAATTTCTAAAACCACGTCTTGAATAGAAGTATTTGACAATCAAAATGTTCGGAATCGATAGAAGACGTCAAATTTTGCATGTTTCCATCTAGTTATCATTGCGTGCTGCACGAAAATTTTGCCCTTTTATCCACCTGGACTGACTTAATTAGAATAGAGAAACGAAATTTTTATTTATTTATTGAAATTAGTAACGCCTAGGAACGCTTCGAATCATTTCGTTTTTATTTTAAGGACGATGGTTACTAAGGTTTTATAGTGTAGAAAAATAGTTGATCTAAGAAAATAATTGATTTTCTACACCCCTTAAAGATAAAAAATATTAATTAGAGGACAAAGTCTATTTACAAACTTATCCAGTTTATTTGTAAATAAGATGGTTCTATAAAATACTTAAATATTAAACAATCTAATTCATATAATAATTTAAAAATTACTGCTAATTTTATACTTACTTTAATTTTTCTTACTATTTGAATGCTATAATTAGCAAACTTTTAAAAAAAAAATCGGTTAGTACACTATTCGCCGTACAATCGTTTAGAATCTGATTATTGTCATTTAAACGTTCTTATCAGTAATAAAAATTTCAAATTTGAAATGTTCGCGCGTCATGTAGTAATATTTAGTATTAATTTAAGTAACCATTGAAACACTGATTTCTTCAAAATGGCCGTTCTGTCAGTCTTTTCGTGATCGTGGTAGGTTGTAACCTATCAGATCAAGTTTCCAAGAATAGTTAAATAATCCTATAGTAATAAGTGATATAAAATGGTGCAAAAAAAGGTAATCCCTTATAGATTTTGGTGTGAATATTATTTTTAATCTGCAAGTAAATTAAGTATCCTCTTCTCAATTATGTTTTACACATGGAGTTAGGTTATGAATTGTTAATTTGTTAATAAAACATATTTCAAAGAAACTAGACGTGATGATTACAGTATTTGCTATTCCGATAAAACATGAGAAAAACTCATTACCACCAAGTAACCACTGAATAAATATTTTTGTGCATATCTGAAAATATATGTGTATGGTTTGTGGTTGCTGATGTTTGTGATTATTGTAGCCGAAGAAGAAATCAGGGAAAAAGGTAGCTGCTGCTCCTTTGGCCGTGAAGAAAGTCGAAGTAAAGAAAGTTGTTAACCCTTTATTTGAAAAGAGACCAAGAAACTTTGGGATTGGTGAGTACCAGTCTACATTGAACATAGACCTTTTAAACAACTTTTAATGATGAGACCTTTTGTCACAGAAAGCTAATGTTGACTTTAAAAACGAGCTTTTTAATACTGATGTTTTATATGTTTATTGTTCTTTGTATATATCCATAATTTCATTAATCAAGTGTAACACAATTTTTGTACCATAGGGCAAGACATTCAACCTTCCCGTGACTTGTCTAGATTTGTAAAGTGGCCCAAATACATCCGAATTCAGAGACAAAAGGCTGTTTTACAAAAAAGGCTAAAAGTACCACCACCAATCAACCAATTCACACAAACTTTAGACAAGCAGAATGGTAGGTTTGGTTTATTTTAAACTTTAAATATACTTTCTTATGTTTGTTAAAATGATGACTGTATTTGCTATCCAAATTAGTTATTGCGGAAAGAATCCCTACCACAAATTAATGACTGATGTAATCCTTGCTAACTGAAATATTTGCAGTAACATTATAATATTCTAATACTACTTTGTATATTAAAGCCACTCAGCTTTTTAAAGTTTTGGAAAAGTATAGACCTGAAACAAAATTACAAAAGAAACAGCGTCTATTGGCACGTGCTGAAGCCAAGGTTGCAAAGAAGGAAGAGAAACCTACGAAAAGGCCCAACACACTAAGAGCAGGTACCAATACGGTAACAAAACTTGTAGAACAAAAAAAGGCTCAACTAGTGGTCATTGCTCATGATGTTGACCCTATTGAGGTAAGTAAAATACACATATTATTTTTACATTTTTCCAGGCAGTTTTCTGCATTTATTGGTGATTTTTAATTATATCTACTTCATAATTTTGAGCTTCTTTCCTGATTAATAATAGATTGTTTTTATTTTACTAAAGGTGTTTTATTTGATTTCTATTGTTTTATTTATTTTATTATCGTAATATTTATGCTGCTCCAGTTATATATTGCAATGATGCTAATGAATTTCTTCACCTGATAAAGCTTAAAAAGTTAATAAACATGAAGACAACCTATCCTGAGTTTACCATTTAATCACCTTTTAAAACAAAGCTTCTTTATTAATATGATTGAGAAAATTATCTTATTAACATTATTAGTTGGTATTATTCCTTCCTGCATTATGCCGGAAAATGGGAGTTCCTTACTGCATTGTAAAGGGCAAGTCTCGCCTAGGATTGCTCGTACGACGAAAAACATGCACTGCTGTAGCCCTCACTCAGGTAAAATTAGAAACACCATAAAATTTTCATACTTACGTTCAAGACTAAAAATCGTTGTTTTAGGTTGATTCTGGTGATAGGGCGAATTTTAATAAATTGATAGAAGCCATTAAAACCAACTTTAATGACAGGGGTGACGAAATAAGACGTCACTGGGGTGGTGGCATGCTAGGTTCTAAATCAGCCACATGTACTGCTAAGATTGAAAAGCCTAAGACCCAAGAATTGGCCCAGAAACAGGGTTAAGCGTTACAAAAGTTATTTGTATTTGTAAAAAAATTGACCTTACAATAAAAATCTTTAAATACATAGACTGTCTTTTAATTACTTCATTTTTTTTCTATCATAGGTGTTTTTGTATATTAACACAATAAAAAAAATTAATGTAATACAAAAAAGTTGTCTTATTTATTTAACGTTTTTAATTTCTATTATTTGCAGCACAAAATGTTTACTTGAACTAGTTACTGTTAATATTCTTGCATCATGAATAGTATTCATTGAAGCACTTTCGTATAATTATATAATTTTCCGTTATTTCGTAACTAGACATGCAAACGGCAATCGTTTTCTAGCATACCACAAATAGGCACCCTTACGGTCTGGTATTGAATAAGGTCGTTAGACCTAGTGAAATCGCCAGAAATATTTTCCTAAAAAAATACCCAATGTATAATATACATTGTTGGTACATAATTTAAGGTGACTAGTGGGAGGAAGGGGCGTACACTATTACGGCTTAATCCAGCAGCAATTCTGGATTGATAGAATTACACTTTTTTCCCACTATATATACTATATATTTACCTCAAAACTCACTTCTGTCTCAACCCTGATTAAAATCTGTTTTCTATTATAATGGGTTATTAACTGACGTTTTTTAATGGTGTGTGTACCCGTGAGTATCAGTAAGTTTTACTTACTTTATATACAACTGGTTCACTGAAATACGGATTTTCAACCATTAAATTTTATATAGCTAATAACAAGCCAGATATTTGTTGAGCAGGGTTCCACAGAGGTGCCTGACAAGTTCTAAAATGGGTTAATGTGTTTATTTTTTTGTATTTTGATTTAAAATGCAAATAATATTTCGTTTACCCTAAAATACTCAAATGAACTTTCCGTAACGACACTGGTGACGAAATAACACGTCACTGCGGGCGGTGGTATGCTAGGTTCTAAATCAGCCACATGTACTGCTAAGATTGAAAAGCCTAAGACCCAAGAATTGGCCCAGAAACAGGGTTAAGCGTTACAAAAGTTATTTGTATTTGTAAAAAAATTGACCTTACAATAAAAATCTTTACATATATAGACTGTCTTTTAATTACTTCATTTTTTTTCTATCATAGGTGTTTTTGTATATTAACACAATAAAAAAAATTAATGTAATACAAAAAAGTTGTCTTATTTATTTAACGTTTTTAATTTCTATTATTTGCAGCACAAAATGTTTACTTGAACTAGTTACTGTTAATATTCTTGCATCATGAATAGTATTCATTGAAGCACTTTCGTATAATTATATAATTTTCCGTTATTTCGTAACTAGACATGCAAACGGCAATCGTTTTCTAGCATACCACAAATAGGCACCCTTACGGTCTGGTATTGAATAAGGTCGTTAGACCTAGTGAAATCGCCAGAAATATTTTCCTAAAAAAATACCCAATGTATAATATACATTGTTGGTACATAATTTAAGGTGACTAGTGGGAGGAAGGGGCGTACACTATTACGGCTTAATCCAGCAGCAATTCTGGATTGATAGAATTACACTTTTTTCCCACTATATATACTATATATTTACCTCAAAACTCACTTCTGTCTCAACCCTGATTAAAATCTGTTTTCTATTATAATGGGTTATTAACTGACGTTTTTTAATGGTGTGTGTACCCGTGAGTATCAGTAAGTTTTACTTACTTTATATACAACTGGTTCACTGAAATACGGATTTTCAACCATTAAATTTTATATAGCTAATAACAAGCCAGATATTTGTTGAGCAGGGTTCCACAGAGGTGCCTGACAAGTTCTAAAATGGGTTAATGTGTTTATTTTTTTGTATTTTGATTTAAAATGCAAATAATATTTCGTTTACCCTAAAATACTCAAATGAACTTTCCGTAACGACACTGGTGACGAAATAACACGTCACTGCGGGCGGTGGTATGCTAGGTTCTAAATCAGCCACATGTACTGCTAAGATTGAAAAGCCTAAGACCCAAGAATTGGCCCAGAAACAGGGTTAAGCGTTACAAAAGTTATTTGTATTTGTAAAAAAATTGACCTTACAATAAAAATCTTTACATATATAGACTGTCTTTTAATTACTTCATTTTTTTTCTATCATAGGTGTTTTTGTATATTAACACAATAAAAAAAATTAATGTAATACAAAAAAGTTGTCTTATTTATTTAACGTTTTTAATTTCTATTATTTGCAGCACAAAATGTTTACTTGAACTAGTTACTGTTAATATTCTTGCATCATGAATAGTATTCATTGAAGCACTTTCGTATAATTATATAATTTTCCGTTATTTCGTAACTAGACATGCAAACGGCAATCGTTTTCTAGCATACCACAAATAGGCACCCTTACGGTCTGGTATTGAATAAGGTCGTTA